CATAATTACATACTTTTTCTTAGTTTTTTGATAGACCATTTTTCAGATTAAACTATTAAAATAACTTATTTCGAAGTCTTGTAAATGTTATCAATATTTCGTCAACAATAATATGGTAATTTAAGCCAGTTCTTTACTAGTGGAAGTGACTGGCATTTATGTCTTTATACCATAAGTATTGGTCTATTCATTAGAAGTATATAAAATTGGATTAATGAGTATAACACTAGTTCATACAAATTTGAGATTTGACATAAAAATACTCATTCAATTTAAAGAAAAAATTGTATTTGTTTTGGTTATGAAGTCTATTTTAAAGATATAATGCCTTAATTCGAAAAACTCTTATAAAATTGCTGATCGAGCGTTATATTTCCAAATGTGATCTTTTCTATTTATTGAAAAGTAGAATTTTCTTTGACAATTGCATAATTTTGCTGTTATACATACTAGCATCTAAATTAATCTTGTAATTAATATCATGCTGGCTTTCTTTTGTATTTTAACTTCCTATATTTAAATGTTTCCTATTGCATTATTAAATTGAATCAATGTTCAATTATTTGTTAGTGTAATGATTTCTTATATTTACGCGAACACTACACACACATTAAAACTACTTTTACGGATTTTATCGCGTTTATTTTACTATTATTTTTAATTCCCGACGTTTCGGGCGCCCATGGTCACGGGGGACTGAGATGACTGACGTCCCGATGTCATTGTTAAACCCGGAGTACCTTCAGCTTTTTTAATTATTGTTTATGGTCCGATCTATGCAAAATACACACAATTAAACAATAAAAGTTTTAGTAAAAGGTATGAATTTCGCAATAACACCGCGAAAAATACCGTATGAGGACATTATCTGTAGTGTTGAGGACTGTCTGTATAAAAATAATAAAATCCGTAAAAGTAGTTTTAATCAATATTTGTTAGTGGTTTTTTTAATCAAGTGTCATTAACAATTGGTGAATTGGAATGTTTTGTATTGCAAGTAACCCGATATTATATATATCTTTCTGTTTTATTTCATTTGTCACACTCACACTACGCTTTGTTATTTGGTTCTGGTACATTTTTCCCATAATTTTATTTATTTACTGGGGATGTAGAAATCGCATGAATAAAATTAAGTTTTTGTTTGACACCAAACCATTTGGCTATTTATTTTTTCTTTCAAAATTTTTGATTTTTCTAGGTGCCTAATATAAAATAATGAATGGAAAATGAGACCAGGGCCGAAAGAGATCATCGGTAACACTAGACACGGCGCACGGAATTGCATGAATTATCGATTGTAAAATTATACTGGTGACCAATGCTTACGTTGCTTAACCGCAATCCTAAATCCGTTCCTTCTACTATTTTTTCACCTTTAAATATTTTTAAATAAAATAAATGTGCGTGCATAACTTTCACTTTTGCACAATTATGTGTTATGTACAGTTGTTTCGAAACATTTTTTTTCAAACTACATAAAATTTTATTGAATAAAACAAAAACCTAATATTAATTATGAAATGAAATATTAAATCTGACATTAAATGTACAGACAGAAAAAAATTACAAAATATTAACTTTGAAATAAAATATAAAATCTGACATTAGATGTACGCAGAAAGTAACCTACTTAATGTAATTTTTAAATCTTTTCCTTATAAATAAAAATGTATTTATTTTTCCATATCGCGTTTTTAACATTTTTAAACGCATTATTTTTATACCACATTTAGTTTTATCCCGTTGTGTTTTCGTCCGAGTGTTTGTCGTTTTTGGTTGAACCCCTCCTCAAGTGTTGTGGTTGCGTGTGTGCGGTCAGGTTCTGGCTGGCGATGACGTCACGCGACGCTGGCCGCCGCTCGCCGCCGGCGCGGATCTCTTTCGGCCCTTGGTACTAATTGCGACCTACACTTAAGGTATTTGTTTTCTACGATAGGCGACACTACATGACGCGAAAGTGTTCTCATTTTCAAGTTTGTAATATGTAATTATGGTTCATTGTTCTTTTAGCTAGAGGCTTTATAAGATTATAGTTTAAATTTTTTGATTTGTTGTTAACATTTGTTAAACAGCAAAAAACCCACAACCTTAAAAAAAAGTAAAAAAATAAGAACGCATTACGGGAAACAAAAAAAACAAGTTATTCAAAAACACTCCTACACAAAAAAAAAAAAAAAAAAAAAAAAAAACAGAGGGTTGCGCCCACAATTGCAAAAAAGGCAAACCATTCTCTGTTTGAAATTGGGTGTATTGCCTGCCAAGCAAGTTGTTTTTAATTTACACATTATAAGTAGTAAAATTAAAATCTTGTACAGCCGACTTTAATATAAAAAGAATGAGAAGATCATCAATGTAGTCTAAGTCAAATCATTATTAAGGATATCTCAAAAACTACTAATCAGATCTTGATCGCATTTATATGGGATCACATGAGAAGCATCAGCTTTCAAATGAAAAACTAATCATAAAAGTCGTTTCACCCAGAAAAACTTCTAAGTAGTCTTCTAGTTCTAAGGTAACACACATAAAAATATAGTTGAATTGAGAACATCCTTTTTTTGAAGTCGGTTGAAAAGATAGAAAACGATGATTATACCTAACATTGATCCGGTGACTATTAATAATTCAATGTGAAAAGTCCTGCCTAAATGTAATAAAATAATATAATATTACATTAGTTTTTAGACAAGATTACTTACTATGTACTGCTACAGTAGCGGTACTTCAGTTTCAAAATATCGTATATCTTTTGCATTTACATTTATTACACTTAAGTAATTGTTAACATATATCACAGTTGCTGGGCACAAACCTCTACTGCCATGGAATAAAAGAATAACGCGTCTTTTATCCCATAGCAAATAGAATTAGTTATATTTATTCGACTTTTGGCTAAAAGATCAATTTTTACAATACTTCTTGCTAATCTTATCTTGTTTCAGAGTTCTCATGTCAATCACATTTCTCAATACAATCATACGAATATTGTTAGATTTCCGCGATATCAGAATAAAGTAGAAGCTTAATTGATTATTAAATTTCTGTTAAAATCTCCGTGCCGTTAAAGATTTTGTTTTCAGTCATCTCAGCGTAAATAACGCTCTAAACGTCATGAATTTAAAAGCGGTATATATAAATAGTAAAAATACTTTTAGGTAATATATTTACAGCAATCCTTTTTTGACATTTAAAATGGTGATTTTGATATAATACATTTCTTAAAAAGAAACAACATAAGCATAGCAAGAAGTTCAAAAGAACTTTTACTGTGTTAATCTGTTAATTAATTAATAACATTTAATGCGTTAATGTGAAAAATAACTACTCAGTTACAAATCTTGCTACTCATAATGAATTCCTGTTTTGAATACAAAATAAACAAGCGCAATGGTTAAAACGGTAATTTTAAAAAACGCGATTGCGTAAAAAGTCCACTGCAAGAAGTAAAATTTATGCATCCAATATGTCCATTCTACAAGTAAGACGAACTAACGATACCCCAAATGTTTAAATCCGTCAAGCCCTTAATTAAGGCTATAAAGCGTTCAAAAGAAATAGTCATGTACATACATAAGTTTATACATGGACACATACATACACATATGTGTATGTAAGAGTATATGTATATACATACACTCAAAAAATGTTACCCTCCTTCCGGGGTACTCAAGTTAAAGATATATATTCACGAAAAAACAGACGGTCAGTCGACGCAGTTAGTGATTTATCTGGCTATTTTCAGCTACGGGATATTCTCCACGAACCGCATGCATAGTTCGTTCTCTAAGTGCGCTCGCGCTCTAAAGTTCCTTTATATTGAGAAAACATATACGAATGGTTTTATGAAAAAAAAAAGTAACTTGTAACATCTATAATATATTTTTTTATATATTTTAACATAGTGCTGGAGATTTCTAATAAACCAACGTAGAGACTATATATATATATATATATATAAGAATCCTTCTAGTATTGTTTAGCGACCTTTTACATGAAGCGATCTATTCCATGTTTATTTTACTATTTACGCCCACAATATAAAATACATCAGCTTTATACTTCTTTTTACGGCAGTAATAACTTTTCCTGTTTCTTTTCTTTTTTTCTTTATACCTAATAATTCACATTAGCGCTTATTATATTATGATTTATATTAGCGCATTAATTATGTATGCAAAATTTTCAACTTTTATCCAAGGATGTAAAACAATACGGATGTAATGTTACATTAAAATGTGGGAACACCTTAGATCCCTCTTATTTTGTTTATCATACACGAGATACATACACACAAATATGTAAAGGTCTGGACAATCGACGCCAGTATGCAGTCAATGCTCGTTAGCTCTAACATTGACGCGCGTTGCACGCTGGCACCGATTGTCATTTGTGTGAGTGTATTCGCGTACGACAAACAAAATAGTAGGTCCTACGGGATCGGCCAATATGTCTTTCTACGATCGTTAACGCTGTAGAAAAGTACAAAAATGAATAGTTATTATATTTCATAGTATTGACATACCTTAATTTACGTGGCTTTATGTTGAATTCATTAATTTTTATAGTTTACATAGCGTCTTCTTGATCCTGCTTTTTGCTACACACATTTTTAGTGCAACATTACGTCCGTGTTTCTTTCCGTCCGCGGCTTCAACTGAGACATTTTCCCCCGACCGGCAGTTTTCGCAAGCTCTTTGCTGAGTCTGATCTCGCCGCGGGCGCGTTCCCCCGGCCGCTATCGGCGCTGGGCCGGGCCGCGGCTGGTGGCGCCGCCTCGGCCTCCGCGTAGGCACTCCGACCCCACCGCGCATCTCACACACAAACCCAGACCCAGGCACCACTCACAGGTCAAAAAATCCAAGCTGCAGCTAGATCTCCGACAGGAACTAAGTCTGAACCTCGACAACTGCGAAGTGGACCACTGGCTCGGAACCAAATTCGACGGGAGTGAAGCGGACGACGAGGTCTCAGACTACATATTCAGTCACGATACACCGTTGCAACGGTCGATATCGTTGGATGGCGGCATTGAGATTTTTAAACATATGAACCCTCTGCGTTCGGATTGGTCGAATAGTTCGTCGTCATGGACATTGTATTCCGGTGAAAATGAGAGTCGCATTCTTGAACAGTGTGGGAGTTTTGAAGATGTTCCAGTTTCTCAGATAAAAGTGAAAAGCAGGCTTGCATCTTTGGCGACGCAAAATGAGGGAAATGTCTTGGCTTTAAATGTACCAAACAGTTATAAAGGGGTGGAAGCAGAGAGCGGCAACCTTTCTCGTCAAGTTAAAAAAATACAAAAAACATTTTCTTTCAAGAACTTTTTAGATGAAGTCAAGGAATCTGATAAAACTACCGACGAAAGCCTAGAACTTCAGGAAGGTATGCAAACTGTGAAAAAAGATAAACAAATGGAGAGACCATCAGGTCAAAAAAGTACTGGTCCCACACAAAAATTATATTATGAAGCGGCTAGAAATGTTGACACAGATTTGAGAAAGAAAGTTTTGATAAAACGTAGCATGTCTAATATTCAGTTGAAGAGTTGGGAAGAGCTGGCTGAAAATACTAACAACGTTCTTAGCAGATCTCTAAAAAGTTTAGTGGAGTCAAAAGAAACTACTTTCGTTCATCGTGACGAGAGTGACATTAGTAAAGACAGCATTTTGGATATTCCTGGACTCCAAAGGAATTACGAGACCCGTAGCAATTTAAATAACAAGAAACTTATAGTCCCCACAATTGTAGTAACGGACACGAACTTTGTAGATAATGAGGTCAGCAATATTGATCCTAGAGACGATATCTGTGTGGACAAGTTAGTCATCGGTGATAGTATTAAGAAACGAGATATCTCCGTAGATCCTTTTAATGTTATAGAAGCTGAAAGCGTTTGTAACTGTCGAATTTGTAGCGAAGATGAAGAAGACGATAGTAAATCTTTCTTACGTAACAAGCTTAGCAAATTGTTTATGAAAATCGTCTCCTTCATCGAGTTCGGTAAGAAATTGACTTCTTGGGATGAGAATAATAACATACGCGAAGGTGAAATGTACAATTGTATAATGCATGTTTTGAAGTTGATGTTTGGTCTTTGGTTAAGGCATTTAGATCACAATCCTCAGGTTAAAGTGCATCAATAAGGTTTATGGTATTATGTCATTTATGTTGAATGTATTTTGTAGAAGGTGGCGAATCGTTAAATAAGTTTGTTTTATCCTTTGACATAATTTTATAGTATTATTTAAATCTATTATTCTGAACTTCGTAACAGACCAATAATTTTGAAATCATTTTTATATAATGTTGTTTGAATAATAATTAGGCTTTACAATAATCAGATACTGTCCCTGATATTGTGTTGTTGTTTATAGAGTATAAAATATGAAAATACGGAATATTTAATTGTTTGGCATATATTTTGTAACTTAGAATAGTGAAATACAAAAAAAAATTAAGATAGTCGAGTCTCCTATTAAGAATTTCATTTAATTATTTTATTCAATAATTTCGTTGTATTTTAAAAGTTGTATGTGCATAAAAGTTATCGTCTACAATAAGTAGTTGTGTGAGTATTCAATTAGGTACGTTTATTAATTTCAATATAATTTTTGTAGTAACGAACTGCTTGTTGCGTCAGGGTACAATTGATTGTCTAATTGTATTTAAAAATGACAACTATAACTTCTAAATTCCATATGAAGACTAGTCGTTGGTATAACTGAACTTATACAATTAAATAATGATTTCTAAAATTTACGCGAACACTACACATTGAACAAAACTAAACTTACTAATTTTTTCGCATTTAATTAACTCCTTTTACTTATTTTTTTAATTCCCGACGTTTCGGGTGCTTTACAACACCCATGGTTTGTAAAGTACCCGAATGGTTTACAATACCAAGCTGTATTATTTTTGCAGCGGATCTTGAGGCAGAATTAATGAAACGGACCCTCATTCTTTGAATGTGTAATAATAACATCGTTGCTATTTTAAGTCTTAATACTTTCTTAGCTGAATCGTATGAACTCTTATTATAATTAATATGATTTGAAATGTCAAGTAGTGTTGCATTATTGGGTTATTTACTGCAGTATTAGAGACAGTATCTTTATTATGATTGTCAATCAGTATTGTTAAATTTTTTTTACAATTGTCAATTTGTAACGTAAAATAGTTTATCTGTGTGAATGGCATGTTTAAGACTTAGTTATTGTGATTTTGTTTGATATTTAGATTGTGAGACTTTCTGGTATCAGATCTAAGCAAATAGTATTCTTCCATAGGACTTATGTCTTTACAGTAACAGTAGCAATCTACTGTTTTACATAGGCCTTAGAAGGTAATTTTTCTGTCATCATTCTGGTTTTTTTAAACATTTTGTAGACTCCGCAATCTGATAGATTTCTATTTGCAAGACAGAGGAAGACAGGAATTAATATCAGGACAGGACAGGAATGCTTTTAGTGCGCTAAAACAGTACGCTTTACCATCTAGGGTTAAGTCGTCATCTACGTTGCTAGAGATAATTTTTTTCTAGAATTAACTTTATGGTCCATTTTAATTAAGACGATTTCGGCCAAGAACAGCAGGTAAGATCTCATGCTTGTTTTATCGTAAAAACAAGTAGCTGTATTCCAAATTCACCTTAAATACATAAATTGCTAATTGACGGACGGATTTCGGGTATACTAACTCATGGCAGGATATTAAAAAAATTGTCCCCCTTTTTCAAAAACTAATGATGGTGGACCACATTATCTGTGCGAGGGTATCAGCTTGGCTCTGCCTGGAGTTTTGGCGGGAACTTGACCGTCGATGGATTGTTGCTCCTGTTTTATCGTTTAAACAATAGTTTAAAGTGTTTAAAGTGTGTAGTGATTCGATTTTATGTATTAAGTGTCTACGCATGTGAACTATTAGATAAAACGATGAAACAAGTGCTTCGATGTTGATATAAACCGCAAGGTATTGTGATCGCTTAGGCGCCTTATGAACTTTAGTTACTCGTAAATGATTGTTGATGAGCTGTTGTCAAAATCTCCCAAAAACTTCGCAATGTGACGCATCAGCATATTTCAAATAAAAAATCTATTAAAACGAAGATCTCGAATAAAATGAAGACATGGCTTAAAGGACAAGCAACCAAGCCAAAAATCTTAATAAAAGAAAAATAGTTCTGCCTAGCGCCGTGATTATAAGTTCTAAGAAATACATGTTAGCTTGTGTATTTTTGGAAAGGCCTATGTCTAACAGTGGATTTAAAATTTATTGATATGATATGATTGTTTAGTTACGCTATGTGTATAGAATATTCCATTAGTTATTTTTACGACATAACGAGAGGATGTGATAATGAATTTCGTTACATGGCTACCGCTCGACATAACTTTATTATGTGTTAGTAAATTAATAATACTCTAAATAAGACTATCATGGTCTAAATTGATATTCTGATTAACCTTTCACAAAAAAAAAATTACAATGATGTGGTGCAGTATAAGGTATTCTGAAGTGCTTGAGTATCTAACATTAGATTTTATAGATATTTAAATGACTGTTTCAATTTTTGTTTTTAGATTCCGGACCCTGTTCACACATTTTAGTTAAGATTACAGTAATTAGGGCTGTGTGCTTGATAAGTGTTACAGTACATCGCAATAGGTGATTTAATTTTAAGAATATATTCAATTTAAATATGATCATGGATGAATGCACGGTGTCTGTTTATATGTTTTTGATTCGCGATTGCGTGCCATTTTTAATCTATCACATTAAAATTGTTTCTATTTACATCTGCTGTAGAAATCATTTTTTAAATTATTTTACATTTTCTAGACCGTCACAAAATTATAAAATAATAATTATTTTACTTTCTTATAAATATCTTAATGACTCATTTTCTTGCATTACTGTATATTATTTTACAATAATTCACTCTAAAGCAGACATACCACTTTATTTATTAATTTTAATTAATTGTGGCCTAATTTGTAAATCTATTGTTTTTAATACATTAAATTGGAGTCATAGACTCGTTATTTTTAAAGTATTTAAGTTTTTACATGGAACGCCTAATTTACAATTAATTTCTACATAATTTATATTATTTATTTAAAAAAATCATTACTTCTGTTAAAGTCACAAACATCTTTGAATAATGTTGGACTGAAAATTAACGAAGTTAGTAGGATTTGTTAAATAATTTAGACAATAGTACCAAATTGAATGAAATCCACGATGTAAATCTAAGTTTAGAGCTTAGAACAAGTAGATCTATATTACTAAAAGACGATTTATTCATTGCATTAGTGTAATTCATAAGTAGGATTTTACCACAGGTTGTTAACACTTAAAAAGACATTATAAAAGACTTGTTGTCGCTACTTTGGCACATTCCAAAAAGTTGGTTTTAAAACGATTATCACCTTGATAACGAGATAATAGATCTGTCTGATGTCAAATTGGCATGCATAACAACTTTTGGTTTAAATTAAATATGTAGTTCCTATGTTTTACCTGATAGAAGTTTAAATAAAACAAATTATGGAGTGTGTCGATTTTGCCATCATGAGGATCGATTTTTGACTAAATGTATTTGTGAACACCTGTACAGAATGTATAAGACCATTTAAACTAAATGTGCCTCTATCCGGCGGCCTGTTGCCCCAATTTTATTATTTTCATGTTCGTAGTGTTGTAATGTGCATAATTAATAATAAGCTGTTGATTGTAACGGTGATCAGTTTATATCCCTCGCTGTTTTAAGATAAATTCATTCCATTTACTGTCGTAATTCTGTTTTAAGAAGTAATAATATTCAATATCTGTTTATATGTTAATTCTAGTCACAGTCCTGCTGGGTACTAGATTATAAGACACTATTTACATTCATGAAATACAAAAAGAAATGCTGGCAACCTTTTTTATATATTTAAATTATTATCCTACTGTCAAGCTTGGTACTTTTAAATAATTGTTATAAACAGCCAGCATTTCGTATTTAAATAAGTTTGTAATATTGTCGGGCAAAGGGAACACAATTTTATTCGTTTAATGTTCATAATATAATATTATTTGTATCTATCTATACTCCATGCTTAAATGTTTTTATGTTATCACATATTATACACGTAAAATGTAAGAGACATTATTGGTACCTAATAAAATTTATAAGTTGACGGTGTCAAAATAATTATCTATGTTTATAAATGGTGTTTTATTTTGTTAGTACCTTTTACATTTGAAAAATTCTGCTATGTAATGACTTTGCAAGGGGTAAACTTTTTGTAATGGTAATTACCTAAATAATAATGTACTCGCTGCTATTATCATCTCACCACCCACACTTAATTACTGCGTGATGGCTTTTTTCTAAGTCAGATAATTTTATTATTTAATTAATTTTATTATGATATGCCAGATTTAAGGTACTCTCAGTAATGAAGGATAACATAGCGTGTCAGTTCTTTTACATCAAAGTCCACTGCTAAACATAGGCCTCCCTCTTGAAACTTTACAAAGCGCAAGTTCGGCCTCACATGGAATACTGTTCTTATCTCTAGGCCGGGGCACCCCAGAACGATTCGAATCGTCGACGGCCGAGTTCTTTCTGATCGGTTCGATTCACTGGCGCTGCGTAGGAATGTTGCACCCCTTTGCATTTTCTATCGCATGTACCACGGGGAGTGCTCTGAGGAATTGTTGGGATTAATACCAGCCGCCAAATATCATGAACACACATCGCGTTAAAATTCAAGATTGATGAGGATGGTCCTCACCATGTGCATGCTTGGCAGTCTACTACTGTGCGTTTTACTAGAAGTTTTCTTCCTCGTACAACTTCTCTGTGGAATCGTTTACCACCGGCGATTTTTCCGGACCGATACGACTTAGGAACCTTCAAGAAAAGAGTTTACTTCTTTTTAAAAGGCCAGCAACATACCTCCGATTCCCCTGGTGTTGCGGTTGTTCATGGGCGGCGGTAGTCACTTACCATAATTACCACGCTTGGTAGGTGGGTAGGTAATTTTTTGTCTGGTTATTATGAAGACGTTACTGTCTATCTTTTGGTTGGTTTCCCTTTATCTCCTCTTATGACAAGCTCGGGACGACATGGGGTAGATGATATTCTTACATC